ACCTGCATGTATTCTTCGATGCTGTACATGTGTATGTGAGAGCATTTGCATCGATGTGTGCGTGCGTGCATGAATGCATGTTGCTGGTGTGTGTGTGTGTGTGTGTGTGTGTGTGCTTGTTTCGCTTGTCAGTATGTGCATGAGGGCGACTACCTACTACGAGGACAGGACTACAACTGATACAATAACTAGCACCAGGACCACCGCCACATCCACCAAAACCCACTGCTGATGCTCAGGCTGCTGCATGCTACTCCTGCCACCATTACCTGCGCTGCGGCTTGCGGCAGTGTGGCGACAACGACTACTGCTACAACTAGCTCGCTGCTGTAGGTGCTGCTTCTACTGCTCATCCATCCAGCTACGAAGCAGTCCTTCAACTACAGCACAACGTAACTCGCCATCCCTTCTTCAAGCCAGGCGCGCCTAGAAGCTGCGCATCGAAAACCTGTCATCGCATTCATTGGAATTCCTACTGTTGTTGATACAACTCCTGCATTAACTTAAGGACCCTAAACTATTGGAGTTATGGTGTTTTCCTCATTGTGGGTAATGCAGGATTTACATCATCAACCGTGGGACCGCGGGTCTGACACTGGAGATTATGAGGTACTGTTGTGTGTGCACTGTTGTGTGTGCATCATGTGTTTGGCTAGCAGTCTCCTGTGGGGCGGCTCTATACGCCAAATGAGACACGCCACTACGGCGGTTTTAATGTGACCATAGCGAAAACGGTGGCAGACAAGAGTATGCAAGGCTTCTCGAGCGTGTTCATGCAGGTTCCGAATGGATGCGAGCAAGGTGCAACAAATCTTATATTCAGCTTCAAATAATAAAGTAACCAACAAAAGGGACTACAATGTAAGCTAATTACACACTAAACTCAGCAAAGCCTTGACCCTGAACCACTGGACCACAGCAAAGCTCAAACCCGAAAGTCCGTACAGCACCAGTATCCTCCTTTTCAGTGGGTACTTAGGCGCGAAGAAGGGTAGTTGGGGGTGTTGCTAAACCCTTGATCCAAAGGGCCCTGAACCTAAAACGAGTTAAGCCCACTTGGAGGGGCAGGGGACTTAGTAAGTAGGTTGTAAGTAGAGTTATAAGTACCCTAAATTCTAAATGGAGTTACCCCAATTATAACCCGACGTTTAAACGACTTACTAAGTCCACTGCCCCTCCAAGCACAAAGCAAAACCTTGACTCTTGAACTCTTCCGAAAGCCCAAACACTGACTGAACTGAACAAAGGTCACCTAAAGCCTTAAACGCCACAACCGGCCAAAGGAAGCTTTGAGCATCCATGTACCTACATGGTATACACCCTAGGGTCCCTTTAAGGGCTTCTTTGAAGGGTCCTATGTAGCACTATAACGATGCAATAAGGATACCAAGTTAACATGTTGATCTAGGGCTTATAGACTTAATTGGGACTCAGCATTCGTGTATCCATATGGCATACTTGAACTACATTAGATCTACTTGCTTAGGGCTTCCACGTATGACTTCCGTATACATAGAAAAGTAGAGCCTTTGGAGTTAACGAACGCGTTGACCCTAACCTACCTGTAGGACTCGTTTCGAAGCCTTACTTACTGCGCTTTATACATACAAGGGCCCTACAAACTAATCCCTGTAACTCATTATGGCTTTAGGCATCACATTTCCCAAGCCTTTGGCATCTCTGGCATCTTCTGCACTGGCTGAGTGATGGCCTCCGACTTTGGTGTTTAGAGGTGCTGCTCAAAGTGTGTAGGGCTTAGGCCTTAGGGTTCAAAGCGCAAGGGCCGCTAGGATTTAACGTGTGGGATTTGGGATTTCTGGCGGGCTAAAGGGTTCAGGGTTTACAATTAGGGTGCAAATAAAGCAATCCCCTACGGACTACCAGCTACAGCAAAAACCTAAATGGCTCTCCCGAGGCAGTACGGATTCTATTCGAGTACAGTGGTGCCTCAAACAACGAATCATTTACAACCTGACAGCAAGCCTATGAACAGTAAGCCTTCTAGTAGCTCGGGGGTCCAGACTGAGTTGACGGCCTGCACAGACGATACTTGGAGGTTCATGGGACGTAGTAAGTACAGTTATAAGTACCTTAACTGGGGTTATAACTAGTTATAAGTATAGTCACCTTATGTATAGCCCTAGTTACTAAGTCCCATGAACCTCTAAGTAACACTTCTTGCATCTGACGAGTCCCCGCGAAATAAAGTGGCTCAAGGGTGCCCAGATCGACGGGGTCAAACAAGTCACATTGGGTGGCTGTGAAAATTAGGGTCCCTAGGGTTCCTTTAAGGGCTCCTGTAAGGGATCTATAAATGATCTATAGGATCTTATATATGGGTGGCTGCCAAAATTAGGGTCCCTTTTTTGGGTCTCCATTGTAATTCCTTTCTTATTGTTTAACCAAAAATTTACATGGGTGGCTGTCAAAATTAGGGTCCCCTTTTTGGGGCCCTAATATAACCCTTTAAAGGGATCTATAGGGTTTAGAGTTCTAAGGACTCATATGGGTGGCTGTCAAAATTGGGGTCCCTTTTTTGGGTCCCTGAAATATTACGGCACCTAATATTTAGGGCAATCACCCACATGCCGTCCGTATTGATGGAGCTCAAATGAGGCAGGCCTGACGTCGACATCATGGCCTGAGGGAGGATTTAGTGGGTGTATAGACACTATAACAAAAGAAACATGCATTCTGATCAACTATTGCCTTCTCGAGCTCAAGAGTGCCCTTTTTCACAGATGTTTTCGTGGTTGAGAAGATCAGACCACTTTCGACCATACCGTGGTGTGCAAGCGGTGCGTCTGCCCTATCATCTCCCTTGCCGAGAGCACAAGAGCGGCATGCTGCGAGGGTGGCCGCCAAGTCTATCCCGCTCTCCAAAACAATCTCCGTGAGGACAGTTTAGGGCCCAGGGTCTCTGCCTGAGGTCGTCACCACTCAGGAGTGATGTGATACTTGTCGAATAATCTTCCCACAACTAGGTTCAAATGCGGGCGACCTGCATTCTTGGGCACACTGGCCTTGACCGATTCTCATCTTAGCCGAGGCGGCCCAATAGTGCATACTATAGGGGCCTTAATAGTTAGAATAGGGTTTTGGGGCCAATTATATTGAAATTTCTAATAAGGCACCCCCAAAGGCCCCTATAGTAGGCCACTTCGACCACAGCCGTCCTATCGCCGGTACTGTGTGCGTCTGCACACAACCAAGACCAGCCCTTCGCACATAGCTGCCCGATTGCTTGGCTAAACCCTAAACCTTCGAGATGTGTCCACAAACTCACCTGTAACCCCAAACCCTACAAGATAGTAGGTTATAACCGTTAATTAGAGGGTCTAACCCGCAAAACAGTGGGTTTTTGGATCCCCAGGCAGTCTGTAACCCTAACCCTAATGCTCAAAACAGCCCAAAAGCCTCATATAGTATGGTCTTTGGGCCCAAAAGGGTTAAAATATGAGTCCTGAGAGCCTAAGGGTAACCCTCACGGCCCTAACGTAGGCCTGGCCATCATCGTCCTGAAAGGAGGCGTCCTTGTCACCCATGGTCTGGAGCCTTGAGGGTTCAGGGTTAAAGGTTTAATTAGGGTTTAGGGTTCAGGCATTTCTTTCTTGAGGGTTTAGGGTTAAAGGTTTAGGGTTTAGGGTTTATAGGGTTTAGGGTTTAGGGTCTAGGGTTTAGGGTTCAGGGTTTAGGGTTCAGGGTCTAGGGTTCAGGGTTTAGGGTTGAGGTACTAGGGTCAAAGGTTTAGGGATCAGCTACGAGGGACTAGCGAGGAGGGTTTCGGGTTACTGTAACCAGGGTTAGTTGCAAACTGCTTCGTTTCTGGGGGGCTCTGGGGCTGCTGGCTGTTGACTTCCGCTCGAGCTTCATAAAGGTTACAGACTGCTGGCCTTGTTTGCCTTGGGGCTGTCAACTGAGCTGCACAACGATGCCGAACTTTAGGTGCGACTTGATCTATACCCCCCCTTAGAACCATAATTAACATGAAGTTATTGAAATTTAATAATAATAATACTAATAATAATAATAACAATGATAATGATCTAATATTCTCTTGGGTTTTATATGAACAAGAGCAAAAACAATTCCTAAGGGGACTATATTGGCTTGAAGCTCCGTCGCACTGCTTAGGATCCTCAGCCCGTCAGTCGCAAACTCTGCAACCACATAAAGTCTTCTAGGGGCCCCCAAAAGCACATAGGCAACAATTAGGATAGGGACATCCCATATCAACCCCCTTATAATGAAGCACTGTAAGATAGGGATATCCCTGTAACATGCTGTTGCTTATGGTCCCTATCTTCAGCAGCGCTCCAATGCCAAAGTGAGACCCGCAATCTTTAGCCCTCACCCATTTCAGCTTTTATGATGATGAGAGGCTTTGCTCTACTCCGTGGCACTTGTAACTAATAACCGCCATAGAACTCTAGAACTCTGAAGGAAAACTGCAAGAACAAATGTGGGCTTGGAGGGTTGAGCTTCTGAATAAATCTGACACCTACACCCCCAGTCCCTGCTTCAATCCTCAGGCGCCACTCCCAAAAACGCATACACCCCGACCCAACCCGTAAATGCACTCCCACATACCTAGAGGCTCATAACCTACCCCTGGTTTAGGATGCCTAGCTTGATGGTTGGATCTGGTGTATAGACAAGTAGGTTCCCTAAAAAAGGGTAGGGTATAAGCCTACAGGTATGAACGAGCTGAGGTCGAAGCTGACATGGTGCGAAGACATGCTCCGGATGGGGCACCTGTCCGGTCTTCTCGCGCTTGCAGCTTGGGCTGTACGGCTGGGTTTTGAGAATTCGGCTTTAGGGTTTACAGTGCTCGGGTTAAGGATATCGGCATTAATCTAGAGTTTGGGGGTTTCGAGTTCAAAATTAATGAGTGGGTTCAGGGTGTAGGCTTGACTCTAGAGGCAGTAGAACGTGATGACACGTGTTACCCGAATGGGCAATTGCTCTGGTGACCCTCGTCAGCATTAGCAAAGTCCGAGTTACCGGAATGCCAAATGCAGCTGTACAAGCATAACCCCACCGAAGAGCAACAGTGCAGCCCACCACTCTGGTGATGACTGCTGCATTGCAACAGTCGCCAAACAGGGGCACAAGGATGCACAGAGGAAAATGTACGTGTACAACAAGAAGCTCAGGATCAGGCCCAGCAATAGATTAAGCCAAGGCCTGTCTGATATAGCACCGAGCTTGCTTAGAAAGCCAAAGAGAAGCGGCTGCGCCGCCGGAAAAACTACCAGGGAGCTCAAAAGATCATACAAAAAGCCCAGCTTCATGTATTCTACACCGGAGCTGAGCCCCGCAGATCGTGCCAAGTCCTGGCAATCATGTCCACTGCAACTAATCGTATCTACAAGGCCATACAGAAGCATAGGCAGCTGAGCCGCCAGAGCAAGTCTGTAGGACATGTGCAGTTCGCTACCAATCCTGTCTAAAACAGCATGGCGAAGCGGACCTCTCACGCATGCATTGAACATCTCCAACGGCTCTCTTTCCTGGGTTGTATCTTAAATCTTAGACGTAATCCAAGATCTTCGTAGAACAGGTGCATCTCTATAGGACAATAGCGAAAGAGCCTGCCAACTAGCAAAAGTTACTCAACCAAGACACCGTAGTCTAATCTATCAAATCAAACATCCCTATCGGCCCTTTGAAAGTAAATGAACTACTTAAACTATAACCTGTTGACAAAGACCCCTTTCAAACTCTATAACCGGACCACTTCTATACACCCTTTAATGGCCTTGCAACAGGCTCCTAGGGCCTCGTGTTGAAACGGCTTAGTAGTTTCGCAACTGTCGGTCCTTGGGTAATTACTAAATTCTAGACCCTAAACCCTGCAACCGTAAACCCCTAAACGCTCAACCCCTAAACCCCAAACCCTAAACCCTGAACCCCAAGCCCTGGAATCCCTGGGACCCTTTGAAAGGACCCAGCGTCGCAATTGTCGATCCATGGCTGCTTGAGAGCGGCGACGTCGGAAGCCTCAAGATCCGACATTTTGCCTCAGTTGCCTACAAAAAGGTTTTAGGGTTTAGGGGTTTAGGGTTAGGGGTTCAAGGTTTAGGGTTTATAGGGCCTTGAAGGGCAATATAGGCCCAGACCCCCGGGAGGATCTAGAAAGTAGATGCCCTAATATGGGGTTCTATACTACTAAGGGTACTTTATAGGAAACAAAATGACGGCTCCTGCCCCAGAAAGGAGGTTTAAGTACATTGAAAGGTCCTGGGGTTTGGGGTTTAAGGTTTAGGGGTATAGGGCCTTAAAGGGCAATATAGGGGCCTGAATAATTAGAACAGGGCTCCTTTACAGGCATCCTTATTTAAAGGGCTACGACAAGGGCTGTTATAAGGTTTTAGTATAGGGGCCTTAATAACTAGGACATGGTTCCTTTTTAAAGGCGTTCTTTAAAGGGCTACTAGAAGGGCTATTGTAAGGGTTTAGTATAGGGGCCTAAATAAAAATTAGAATACGGTTCCTTTAAAAGTGGTCTTTAAGGGCTAGTATAAGGGCTATTACAAGAGTTTAGTATAGGGGCCTGAATAATTAGAACAAGGCTCGTTTAAAGGGTTCCTTTAAGGATCTATAAGGGCTTTATAAGGGATTTAAGGATGTAGGGGCCTTAATGACTAGAATAGGGTTTTGAGGGATGCTATACTATAACTATAATAGGGACCCCAAAATTGTATTGGTGATTCTTTAGGCCCCTAGAGTAACCCTATACAGGCTCCAGGTACCTAAGCAGTAGGTCACTGAGCATCTAATATGTGGAACGGTAAACCAGTATAACTGGAACCCCACTTGGAGGATCATGGGACTTAGTAAGTACGGTGTTTTGTAAGGTAACTATACTTATACTGACTTATAACTTATAACCCCAATTGAGTTACCAATAACCTTACTTACTAAGTCCCAGGATCCTCCAAGTAGGGTGATACAGTAAAAGGCTGATAAATAGCTCGCGCACGTCCTGTAACATGCCTAAAGAAAGGTTAACGGAGTGATATTATCGGGACGTCGTGTGCCCGCTGAGTGTCCAGACCAAGCAGCCGTGAGGGTTGAGGTATGAAACCGTGAAAAAGACCTACTATAGAGGCCGAAGTAACTACCTGTACTATTTTGGTACTATTTTGAGGGGTTCCTTATTATGACTGTAGTATAATACCCCCTTCTAATCATTAAGGATCATTAAGGCTCCTATACTTCTTCATCACCGCGGTTCTGACAGGCGATGTGTTCTGATTCACCGGAAGTTCGTCCTGACCGAAAATGTGGGCGATCTCCTGGGCTCTTGTTAAGGAATTTAACTTAAGTTACCATAATTGAGGGTTGCTTTAAGGGATCTAGAAGGGTTCCTATAAAGGGTTCTACAGGGGTTAACTGAGTTAGTTTAAGTTAATCACTAGGGGTCTATAGTAAAAAAAGTAGTTCCCTTATTGTGGTCACTAAAATAAAACCCCTTGACCAGAGCCCAGTCTCTTGCTGAAGAAGGGTGCGGTCGCTCTCAAGACTGCACTGCGCGGTTCTCGCATCAAAGGCGCGCATCTGCTGCAGCATAAGGCCGTGACTCCGCATCTTCCACCGCAGGACCAGCACGGTGGGAAGTGCACAAAGGTAGTAGGGAGCAAAAGAGAGGGTCATTTCCAGTGTTTCCCAAATAACCCGGATCAAATCTGGCGACAGTGAGATTGGCAGCTGGGAAACGGCCTCGTTAACGGAGTCCTGCCCTGTCTTCAGAATGTCAGGGCCGGTCATCACCCCTGCCATCGCTCGGAGCAGCGTGACACCAACCAGGTCAGATATCAATAATGCCAAGAACCACGGTGCGAGCCAAACAGGCAGAAAATGTATGTTCCTCGTTCCTTCCATTGAGAACCTAGTGAACACCGCCAGCTCCTTGGCGGGGTTCAAGGTTTAGAGTTTATAGGGTTTGGGGTTTGAGAGCCCTATGCCCGAGACCCCAATCCCTTGCACCCACATCGGCGATGCTTAAAATCCGAATGGTCCGAAACCCTACCTAGACCCTAAGAAACCTCCTTTTTGTAGGGTTCCTTAACACGATTTCCTTATGTAAGTCCTCGAAAATAGTAGGTTATTTGGGGTTCAGGTAAGTTTTGAATCGCTGAGTCTCTAACGCCGATAAGCCCTAACATAATCGCGCTAAGCCCTTCGCGCCCAACCCCTGAAGCCAACGGGCCATCCGAGAGTCTAAATTGCACCACATCCGATCGAAGTACTCCTCGCAGCCAGGAGCTTCCACTGCTGGGTAGTATCATTAAGGAGACCCCTTGAAGTTTCTGGCTCTCTTAAAAGGGACCTTATTGAGAGGGTCTATATCATAATGGGGACCCCTACCCTGTAATGGGCTATATAATGGGTATACAATGGCTATATTCGCCTCGGCCCCGGCCGAAGCGGTCAGAGGTGATTTCCTCTATTCCCCACCTCTTAATCCCCTCCCCACAAACCCCACCCCCAAAAAAAGGGTGCCACCCGCCACCCCCCCCCCCACCCCCCCTAAAAAATGGAAACGTGTCGATGAGCCCCAAGGTCCGGTGGTGAATTCTCGCCTCTGTAGGCAGCCCCCCCTCCCCCCCCTCCCCCCTCTCCCCCCCCTCCCCTCCCCCTCCCCCTTCTGGAGTTTTCGACGACACGGGACTGCAATGTAGCATCTTTATGTGTCTTCGTGTTGCTATGAACATTACTGTTACTATAAGTGCGATTCCAACTGTTACTTTTTTCCTACAAGAGCTTGCTGCAGATAGTAGCCACTCGCCGCATGCGCGTACAGCCGGGCCGAGGCGGACGACGCACAGCGTTTCAAATTAGGGTATATACCGAGGGGTCCTTATTAAGGGTCCCTCCCTCGCTTTACCCTTGGATTCAATTCTTCGGTTTACAGTAGAAGCCAGAAAGTTGGAACATCATTATCCTCATGCCCCTGAGGTACAGCATAGGAAATACCAGCACTAATCATCCCTAATTCGCGTTCCAACTTTCTGGGGTTCACTGTAGCGTTTAGGATTTAATGTTTAGACGTTTGGGGGGGGGGGGGGTAGACTTTGGTCTCCGCATTGCGGATGTATATGCGGGTTTCTGGCTTCCCCTTTCCGTGCGTCTGGGCTTCAGGCTGAAAGATCAATGGGAGAAACGCACAGACCTAAACTTTCCTTAAGAAGCCTTGCCCTGAAGCATGCATGACTGGGCTCTTGTGAAGGGCTTTGATTTAAGTGAACATATACTATATATAGATCCCTACTATGGTAACTTAAAATACATCCCTCAGAAAGAGCCCAGACGGGGTGCCTCATCCCATAAGATCAACATCCGTCTCGATCGCGCGAGGACGGCAGGAAATCCAGAAATGGCCTTGGCCTTCATCGCGTCATCGGTCTGTAGCACGCACAGCTTGTCCAGCCAGAAGGATGGTGCGCAGCGCCCGCAGGTGAGTGTCTGTCCGAAAAAGAAGAAGATGAAAAAGAAAGACCTGGAGTATGGGTACCGGAAATTCGCAAGCTTTACAGTTGTCCGTAAGCTATGGCTATGGCGCCTAAGTATTCAAAAGGACAAAGAGACAAGGCTATTTCAGAGGAACCGAGAGACATGGGCAACCAAAGCACCAAAGGCAGCACCAACGAGGAGCCGCCCAGGCCAGTAACGGTGTCCACTGTCCTACGGTTGATACAAACCCTGCATTACCTTTAGGACCCTAAACTATGGGAATTATGGTATATTCCTTATTATGGGTCATGCAGGATTTATATCATCAACCGTAGGAACCCCCTCCCTATACTAACCCTAAACTTATACTAAATTGGGGTTGGGGTTTCTGGGTTACCCTTACCTGGACCCTAAGAAACCTGCTTTTGTAGGGCTCCTTATTATGATTTCCTTATAAAATTTGTCCCTAAAACGGTAGGTTATTTCGGGGTAAGGCAGCCCTTATAAACCTCACAGCCCAGCGTCAGTAGTAAAACAGCGATCGCCGTCGAAGCTGAACAAACAGTGGCCTTTATGGCAAGGCCGAAGTTCAGGTGGAAGCACATAGCCAGAAACTTCTCCCACCTTACTTGAAGGATCATGGGACTTAGGAAGTAAGGTTATACATAAGGTAACTAGACTTATATTTATTTATCCCCCCAGTTAAGGTACTTATAACCTTACTTACTAAGTCCCATGAACCTCCAAGTAGAGGTTTAAGGTTGAAAGGGGTCCGTCAAGGGTTCCCCTAAGGTTTGCTTTAGGGCTTATGGGATTTAGGGCTAAGGTGAGAAGGGCTAAGAGGGGGGGTGAATGATATAAATCCTGCATTACCTTCATGACCCTGGACTATGGGAACTATAGTCATAATATTCCATATTATGGGTATTGCAGGATGTATATCACCAGCCGTGGGGTTTCAATCTCACAGTGTCCTTCCTTTACCCCAAGGCTCAAAATAGCCCAAAAGCCTTACATAGTATGGTCTTTGGGCCCAAAAGCCTTAAATTGTGCGTCCTTAGAGCCTAAGGGTTAATGTCGAGGACTCGTGGTCCATAGAGGCTCGGTTGAAGGTTTATCTGGACCCGCTTAGAGGTTCATGGGACTTAGTAACTATAGGGTTCTAATTGAGGTAACTACACTTATATGTACTTTTAGTCCCAGTTAGGGTACTTCTAACTTTACTTTACTAAGTCCAATGAACCTCCACGTAAAAAAAAACCAAAGACTCCAATATCTGAGTTAAGGAATACTCCTTAATTCAGGGATATTGGAGTCTCTGGGCACCTACCTTTCTAGGGCTTCTTATGAGGAGCAGGTCGTTCTTGTCAAGGTTTAGGGTGGTCTCAGCGATTCGGGTTGTCACTGTCCCGGCAGCCTTCTATTCGATTGAAACCCAAACTCTTGAAACCAAGAGGCTGATGAGCCCACAACCACCGAACACCGGCGGAAGCAACCAACACAGCAAACAACACGCTCATCAGCTCCTAAACCCCTAAACCCTAAACCCTGAACCCCTAAACCCTAAACCCTTAAACCCTAAAACCCTACTTAGCGATTCCTTCAAACCCGTGCCAAGCTGAGCAATCCTAATATACACTCTCCATGTAAAAATCACCAAATCCTCGGGATGTAGCAGTCAAGGGCCTAGCGACCGTTTGGCACCCCAGTTGTGGCTGATGAAAACGTCCACGCTTTTCACCTGACGTGGTTTCTGAAACTGGGATTTCAGGGTCCTCAGACCCCATATTTAGGTTTAGATTTGGGGTGCCTTGTCTGAGACTCTCAATGCTACTGACGTAGATTCGTTCAATCGCTCACTCAAGATTTTCCGAGACTCCTAGGGACACTCAGGTTGAGCTCTCTTCGCAACGAGAACTCGTGGTAGAGGTAGTGCCAGTGCTAGTGCTAGTGCGTAGTAGCAGTAGTAGTAGTAGTAGTAGTAGTAGTAGTAGTAGTAGTAGTAGTAGTAGTAGTAGTAGTAGTAGTAGTAGTAGTAGTAGTAGGAGTAGGAGTAGGAGTAGGAGTAGGAGTAGGAGTAGTAGGAGTAGTAGGAGTAGTAGGAGTAGTAGGAGTAGTAGGAGTAGTAGGAGTAGTAGGAGTAGTAGGAGTAGTAGGAGTAGTAGTAGTAGTAGTAGTAGTAGTAGCAGAACAAGTGGCTGCTGTTGTTAATGTTGTAGTGGTCGTCGCTGTCTTTGTCGCTGTCCTTGTCCCTGTCGTTCTGGTTGTCTTTGTCGTTGTTGTCGTTGTCGTCGTCGTCGTCGTTGTGGTTGTTGTTGTTGTTGTTGTTGTCGTTGTCGTTGTGGTTGTCTTGTTGTTGTCGTTGCTGGTGCTGTTGCTTGTTCGTTTGTTTGTTTGCTTCCTTGCTTGGATAGCTTTTGCTGTGTTAATTGTATGTTTGTATGTTTAGTTGTTTGTTGCGGTTGTTGTTGCTGTAATTGCTGTTGTTGTTGCTGCTGTTGGTGTTGTTCTTCTTGTTGTTGGTGGTGGGAGTGGTGTTGTTGGCCTGTAAAGTAGTAACGAGTGCCAGTTGTGGGAGGAGCAGCAGCAGCAGCAGCAGCAAGACCATACAGTAGCGGAGCTGTCGTCGTGGCCACACACCTTTTACCGATTTTTCTCCAACCACTTGTTGAGTGCTACGCCGACTTCGAAGGGCAAACAACGAATGCGCAGGCCAACAGCGAGCAACCATAAGAAAGACTAAACCACCCCTTTCTCCAGAGCCTTAGAGCTTAGATTAAGTTTGTGCAGATTTAAGTCAGCACGGTTCAGGTGGTTGTGTGACGCCGGAGCCCACCGCTGGCCCCCCCCAACTGCAGACCTCCAAAAAAAACGAATTATGACATGTTCACTCATTGATTTGTCATTTTGTACTCGCATCGTTCAGACTGTTTGATTGTACATGCAGTTTTGTGCTGCCTGTACCACCCGGCACCCAATACAAAAACGCAAGAAACCAGCACTGATGATTGTTTCCGACCGCACTATGACAATTATCACAATAAGTCTACACTGACTCTTCATGTGGCTTTGTGGTGCCTGGGGCCCAGTCAACACAGCAAAACAAAGCACGTTTCGACTGTCAGCCAGTAATTAATTTCCATCGGCTCAGAATTAAGAACTTTCAGAAAGTTCTCATACAGTTCTTAATGGTTAAGGTGGATTGGTGATTCCGAGACTCCGAGACACCGGAACCGACCCCAAACACAAACTTCGGAAAGTTGTTGAGTTGTCATGGTTACAACGATAGAACTACGTCATACAGACTGACCAAGAGGGCTTGGGCGGTAATGCTATTTTACAAATATGTAGGCTGCATACATTCTTGATACGCAAGCTTCTACATTGTCTCGAATCCCGAATTATTGGCCCTAGTTCTCCAAAGTCGATAGCCGGTTTATATTGACACAGCCTCACGGAGGGCTGGCTCCAGTATGTAGTGGCTCAGGGTAAGTCGTATTTGCAGGGACAGGTTGTTGTTTCAAGGTCGTCGGGACAAAGGGCTTCGTAAAAGGTGTAATGCAGCCTGTGTAACTGGAATACCGCAACATCGTAAACAGACAAGGGAACTGTCAAAATGGCTTGAGTGTCTTTGAGGCTTTTTGGAAGCTTAAACCTCCAAACCCGAAAACTGGAACCCCTACTCAAATATCCTCGAAAGCTTAAACCAGGAACTGGAATAACGCAAACAATTCCTTACATGTTGAAGCAGTCTAAAGATCACCGCCCACCAGTTATACCCGCAGCTTTAAGCACGCCTCGTCGCACGCCTGGTGTGATGCAAACCCTAAACCTCGAAAGCCCCCAAGTCCCCTAAGCCCTATAAACCCCAAACCCGTAAACCCCCACACCCCTTAACACTAAACCCCAAAACCCTACAGTAAATCCATAAAGTTGGAAACTGGATTAAATGCCAAATAGTGCTGGGATTCCCTATACATTACTCTTAAGGATGGAGGCTCTGGGGTTTCCAACTTTTGGGCTTCTACCCTAAACCCTAAACCCTAAACCCTATAAACCCTATAAACCCTAAACCCTAAACCCCTAAAACCCTATAAACCCTGAGCCCCCCGGCCTCTTTGCAGGCTTCGTAGGATGCAGCGCATGCTTCCTTGGCTTTGGCCCTCGCAGCCTCGGAGCTCAGTTCCTCGAGGCTGCTGGCGCCAATCAGTCCTTCCGGGTTCAGGGTTTTAGGGTTTTGGGGTTTAGGGCTCTTTTAAGGTTTCTTTAAGTTTCTTTGAGGGTTCTAAAAGGGTACTATCGATTTAGGATCTGGGGTTTAGGGCTCTTTCAGGGTTTTGGGGTTTAGGGCTCTTTTAAGGTTTCTTTAAGTTTCTTTAAGGGTTCTAAAAGGGTACGATCGATTTAGGATCTGGGGTTTAGGGCTCTTTCAGGGTTTTGCGGTTTTGGGGTTTTGGGGTTTAGGGCTCTTTTAAGGTTTCTTTAAGTTTCTTTAAGGGTTCTAAAAGGGTACTATCGATTTAGGATCTGGGGTTTAGGGCTCTTTCAGGGTTTTGGGGTTTTGGGGTTTAGGGCTCTTTTAAGGTTTCTTTAAGGGTTCAGGGTTTAGGGTTTAGGGTTTCGGGTTCAGGGTTTTAGGATCTTGGGGTTAAGGGTTAAGGGTTAAGGGTTTAGGATTTAAGGTTTAGGGTTTTAGGATTTTGGGGTTTCGGGTTAAGGGTTTTAGGGTTTAGGGGTTAAGGGTTTAGGGTTTAGGGTTTAAGGGTTTAGGGTTTAGGGTTTAGGGGTTTAGGGTTTAGGGTTTAGGGTTTTAGGATCTGGGGTTTAGGGCTCTTTCAGGGTTTTTGTAACAAGGGGGTTCTGTAAGAGTACTGTAGATTTTCGGGTTTAGGGTTTGAGCTGCCTAAGGTTTGGGGTTTAAGGTTTCGGGCTTCAGGTTTGGGGTATGGGGTATGGGCCATTGGGTTGAGGGGTTTAGCGGTTTAGGGTTTAAGGTTTGGGGTTTAGGGGCTTAGGGTTCTGGGTTTCTGGTTTACGATTGGCAGGAGCCGGTTCTTTAGTATCCTCCCACAACCTCTTCTGTTTTGTGCTCAAGACTTTGCGTTTTAGGATTGAAGCCTACTTGGAGGTTCATGGGACTTAGTAAGTACAGGTATAAGTACCTTAACTGGGGTTATAAGTATAGTTACCTTATTTGTAACGCTGGTTACTAAGCCCCATGAACCTCCAAGTAAGATCAGTCTTCCAGAACACATGCTGCATCTTTGAGTGCTTTTCCTGCCATCTCGGTACACGACACCTGAGGGTCCAAACCCTACTAAAATCCCAAGATGCTGAGGGACCAATAAACCCAACCCAACAACCTAAAGACGCAAAAGAACTGAAATCCTAAAACCCCAAAATCCTGGAATCCGTAGCCAGAAGACCCCCAAAATCCGCTAAAGCCCCAAACATCAGAAACACCTAACGCCACAAACATCATCATCACCTGAAGCCCTAATACCCCAAATTCTTAATGCCCCATTAGTCTTAAAATCGCGAAGCACCAAGAATCATCGAATCCTAAAGCCCCAAACGGTCAAAATCGAACGACGACCCGATTATAAGGTTAAATAAATAAATAAATAAATATGTATATATACATATTTATTTATCTATGTATATATATATATATATAGATATATGTATATATGTAGGTATATGTATATATGTATGGCCAATGGTCTGGATGTAGGTGGGGCCGCCCCCTCCCCTGTTGTGTGGGGTGTGGGGTCTCTCTTCCCTCTGTGGGGTGGTTGTGGGGTTTTGGGGTTTGGGGTTTAGCTTAAGCTTTTGAGTTTTGGGTTTACTGTTTAAAAAGTGTCAGGCTTCGAGCGACAAGGGCCAGGTTCGTTAGGGTTGACGGTTCATGTTCTGCTTTAAGCTTAGAGCTCGCATTTAGGCGGGGTTTAGGGTTGGGAGAAGGGTTTAGAGTACAGGTTAAGGTTAATAAAAACAGGAGCATGCGCTATCTTATGGGGCTTGTGGCTTGCATAGGGCTTGCATGCGAACCCTGTCCGCCCCAGCAACGAAGTCCTGTGAGGCCTTCGCTGAAAACTGCTCCACAGTTCGACATGACCTCACAGGAATCTAGCGCTAAACCCTAAACCCCAAACCCTTGGCTGACTTCTGAACCCCTCCTTAAAGTTAAAGTTTTAGCCTCCCTGTTAGATTTCATATAGAAGCCCAAAAAGTTAAAGTCCAAAGAGCCAACCAGAAGAACGCCAAGAACCCCTAAACCCGAAACCCTACGGTTTAGGGTACTATTGTTTAGTTTCGGATTCAAGGTTCACCTTGCCCTTTATTGAACTATGTCCCGAATACTCTCCGGTACGGACCATCACGGCTTCATTCAATGGTACGTGGGCGGTCTTGGTAGGTTCAGGTAATACGAAGGTTTAGGGTTTAGTGATGTTGGAGCCCACTGTCAGCTTCAAACTTGCCGGGCACTAGTCGACCCAATGATAAATCCTGAGCCCTGAACCCAAACTGAATATTTGTCGTAGGGATCCCTGGGTGGAAAATACCCCTGGAGACTGCCTCCAGTACGAATGATGGAGACATATGGAGACCTTCAAACATAACATAGCCAAATATCCATATACATATATATATATATATATATATATATACACACACACCTATATAACTATAAGAAGTCTATTCTATCTCTATGCATGAGTATATCTCTCTCTATAACAAATCATGGGGTTGACACAGGGAAGCTGCAGATCGGGCCTGTTGCGCTGAAGCTGCCCGGAATAGACCATCGTGACATATCTTGTCCAAGTCAGCCGTGGCACAGCGTAATCCTCTGCGTCTCAAAGCGTCTTCAGGGCTTGCGGCTTTGAGTCTTGAGGAATAATTCAGTGAGTCCGCATCACAAAAGCTCTTGCGTAGGGAACCGCAGGAGGCTTTATCCACAACCACCGCAAAACGTGGAAGCTTTCCGAAGACAACTCACCAAGAGATAACCACAACCCTGCTGAAAGAAACGTGGCAAGACACGGGGGCTAACAATAATTGGAACGGTGTGAAACATAAACTATAACTCGAGGGAACATTTTTTCTTAATTTTCAGGCTTCTGCATTAGGAGCTGGACGACATGTCTCTCTTGACTGAAACCGCTTGGATCTTTTGCTTCGTTGTCTTCGCACCAAAAGTTTAGAGGCCTGGAAGAAACCACTGATATAAACACCCTAACATAAACTGACTAGGCCCACACCGTACAACCTAAATCCTAAAGCTGGAACCATTAGTTGCAACTTTTGGGTCGCGCCCAAATGGGCACTATGGACCGAACCAGAACCAGAACCAGAAAGCTGGAACCATTAACCCTGTAGGGCTGGGGATTTGGGGTAAATGGTGGAGCAGCTCCCGGGTCAGACTGGGGTTTAGGGGTTTAGGGTTTAGGGTTTTCTTTTTCAAGGGTTTAGAGTTTATATGCGGGCCTCAATAACTAGAGTATTCGAGGGCTGTTACGGTATCAATACGTACGGATGAGAACAAATGGTAAAATTCCCATAGATTAGCGTTCTCGACCCCTGTACTGATTCACTTGCTCGCGGATTTACGGCTCCGTTTTCTTTGTCCGATTTTTGTAGGCTTATCGGGTCTTTCAGGCCTAATGGTTTCCTTTTCAATTTGAAGTGTCGGATGAAGAACTCGGTTCACATGGATCCTAAACTTCTATGACTATAACCCCCGTGTTGACGACCTCTCTTAGGGTTGACTTCAAGGCCGAGTGAGCAGGAAGGGCTTCACAGCTCCAAGTTTCTGAAACAACATGCTGATGGTTTAGGGTTCAGGGTTGCGAGTGCAGGACAAGCCTTTTGCCATCGCTGCTTTTGGTTCTAGGCAAGCCGGTGCTGTATTGTCCAAAGTCTAAAGCGCGGCGTTGTAACGGAATTGTGCGTGGCCGTCTGCAAAACCCCCAAAGCTAGAAAGGTCAGGTCAACTGGAACCAGAGGCCTGCGAACCCAAACGGGTTTAGGGCTCAATATAGGGGCCTGAACAATTAGAATAGGGCTTTGGGACCAGTAGACTACACTTCTACTAAGGAACTCCTAAAATAGTACAGGCAACTGTTAAGGCCCCTACATTAGGGCTAGACAAGGGATGAACCCGGAGCCTTACAAGATAGGGCCCTGAATAGTTCAAACATGGTAATGGGATATATGATATATATATATATATATATATATATATATATATGCCTATTTTATTTGACAGTACAGGTACAAAACAGACTGCAAAAGCAATATGATTCCCAGTTAATTACTAAAATGTTCACGATATGCACCGGACAAATTACCCGAGGATTGTGGGTATGGTACCGTAAACCCTAAACCCTAAACCCTAAGGGGAGTTGCGGCGGCGGGGCGGGGGGGTCAACCGAAGACTTTCTGCCCCGCGCTCTTTGCAGTTGTAAGCGCTGAAACTTTCGATCTCCCAACTCGAGAATATAGGAATCCTAGGGCTCCTTTAAAGGTATCTATAAGGATTACTACAAGGGATCTACAAGGGTACTATAAGGGGTTATAGTATAGTAATGCAGGAACCTTATTAAGAAACCCTGGGCCTATAACCCCCAAATATAGTAGGGTCCAGAAAAGGAACCCTAATAAAGGCACAAGGTTTCTTCATCACGTTCCTACATTAAACTCTAAACTCTAAATGCTGAACTCTGAAGATTCACCTGAACCCCAGATCTTGGAATCGACACCCTCTACCAACAAAAAACAGCCTTCACCCCAGTGGTCCAAAATGTTGGTCTTAAGGGTTTAGGGCTCAAGGTAGAGTTTTTAACAGTCGGTTTAGGGTTTAGGGTTTAGGGTTTAGGGCTGCAGCACTTCCATAAACATACCTTGACATACCAGGGGATTCTCAAAATTAGTGCTTCAGGCCCTTCGGTTCTAGACCTATATGGCAGCTTCCGAAAAATGGGGGGGTACCATATTTTGGGTGTCCTTATAATAAGGATCTTACTATTTAGGGTGCTATATTGGGTGTCCTTATAATAAGGATCTTACTATTTAGGGTGCTATATTGGGGTCCCCTATTTTCGGAAACTCCCATATCACGGTTTAGAAGACCTCCAAACTGAAACCCGCGTTCTCGGCACACAACCCGGTCCTGTTCGCATGTCCGAAGGACGCCAAGTCAGAGGAGCACAAGATGAAGAGGTAACACGTCTCGAGCCCCAAAAAGCCACATGTCGGGCATACACAGGGCATACATGACAAGGATCCTACTACTTGGGGTCTAATATTGGGGTCCCTTATGGTCCCTTCTTTCTGCAAGTCCCACATGTTGGCTTTCCCGAACCGAAGCCACCCAGCCCCACCCACCCACCCACCCACCCACCCGCCCACCCACCCCATACACACAGGCCCGTATCCAAGTTAGCACTCGGAGTATGGGGTTCAAGACTTTAGCAATCTAAAATTGACGTACAGCGTCTACATGGAGGTCCGGGGATGTACCCGGAAACCCGGATAGCTTGACGAGTCCTTCGTATCTGATCGCGCCCCAATCACGGTGATGTATGTGAACCGGCAACCTGAAACGACCTCGGGTTTGGAGCTTGAGGGTGTACCACCAGACCGGGTATCGCCAAACTATATCAACTTCGTTCCGTTCAGAAGTCTGCACCATGGAACATCCGAATCCATGGAAATCGAAACCCTGTGACCTGAAGCATCTGGCACATTTCATGTAAGAATCGCTTATGTACATGTTATATTACATTCTATGACATTCTAGTCTATTCTATATGTTTTGCTCTGTTATATTCTGTTACAGTATGTTATTTTGGTTAAATTGTACTAAATTAATGTAACATACTATACTGTGTCATAGAACCTGGTGCAAGCCTGCAGATTCTCCACAGCAAGCCACTGACCCTAAACCAACCCTGCCCAGTGCACCCAGTAGCGCTCCATAACGAGCAAGGTCCCGCCGAAAACCTGCGATGTACCACGGCTTGAGTTTGGGGCTTGCTTGGGGCTGGGGCAAGAATCACTACTGATGTTTCTGAGGCTTTATGTCAGGCCCCGTTTGTTGCTGTCAAAGCGTATTCTGTGGTCATTAGCACGCAGTGCTTGTTGGCAGCTGCAGGAACGTCGACAGCATGATCACCAAACCTCGGAAAGGAGTCTAGGGTTTCTGCACCGAGCTGATCTATCTTATCACTGTTGAACTCAGAGTGTACCTATACCCAGACCCGCGGGAGGATCTAAAAAGTAGATCCCCTAATTTGGGGCCCCATACTACTGAGGGTACTCTATAGGAGCCCCCTACACCCCCTAAACCCGAAAGCCTAAATCCTAAACCCTAAAGCCTAAACCCTGAACCCCCATTGAGGGATCTACTTTTTGGATCCTTCCGGGGGTCCGGGTAGGGACCCTGGCCTCTCATTGGTGTTTTAGGAGCAAGATGCACCCAAACCCTCATACAACCCTAAGGCTCCATGCACCCATATAGTATATACTTAGGCCTTAAAGTACCTATATAGGGACCCCGTTAAGGCTTAAGTATCTACTATAAAGGTACATGGAGCCTTAGGGTAATCGTTATTCACACCGGGAGCTTTGGGCGCCCTAGGTTAGACAGGGTCGCACACACCCACTTCACACGGTTTAGTTTTTTTCTTTGAACCCTCTTTTCCTCCTGCGGTTTAGGGTTTAGGGTTTCCGCCTTGCGGAAAAATATGCTACGGACTTTGTTTTTTAAACGCTGGTAGTATATGTTCAGATCCCTGTACTGCATGAAAAAAACTGGAAATCTCCGTCCCACATCAAAGTTTGGGCTTCGGGGGTTTCTCAGTTTCTCCAAGCTTGTACGAAGCTCCTCAATCCGGCCAAGACGTGCTTGAAACGCGTAAACGCCAAAGCCGGCAAAACCCTAGGCCCTACCTGTGGATCCCAAAACCTACAGTTTTCGGGGTCAGACCCTCTAATTAAGGGGTCATAACCTACTATTTTGTAGGGTTTGGGGATACAGGTAGGCCCTAAATCCTAAACCCAAAACTCTAAACCCTAAATCCTTAACCCTGAAGAACCCTAAGCCCCAAAGCCTGGCGGAAGCTCACTGCAACACTTCACAGGCGAGCATGGCTCAAGCGCTTTACAGACAAGTCTCAACTTGGAGGGCTAATGACCCGGCTGAACTCCGTCCCAGCTCCAGTCACATGAGGTTCGGAGGCTGCAGGCCCTAAACGCCCTAAGCTTTTCTGTCTTCAGCTATCAAGGATGCAGCTGGATTGTCCTTTTGTTGTAAGGATCCCATCAGCCTCAGAGATCAGCTTGGAACCTCTAAATTCGTGAGGGGGTCGGCTTAAAGATCGGGGTGTTTACTGAACCTGCGCATGCGTGCCGAAAGGGCTGCAAGATCTAAGCAGGTTCAAGGCATGCATGTCGTGTGTTCGGCTCAGTGTGTGTGGGGTGGAGGTTGCTGGCTGGCCAAACCCAAAATCCTATGAACCCTACCCAGAGGCTCGTATCCTAGACCTTTCCCTAGGGTACCAAGTTGTTGGTTTGGATTTGTTATACAGAAAAGCAGCTTTCCCAAGGTATGGCATCACCCTACAGGCATTCCTTATTTGCGGTCCCTCACCCCTAAACCCGCTTCTGTGTTTGAAGCGATGAGAAGTTCCTCGAGCCTTAGGTTCTGCTTTCGGAATCCCCCTGCTTGGAACTAGGAGGATCATGGGGCATATATAGTAGGTAAGATTATAAGTACCAGAACTGGGGTCATAACCAAGTATAAGTATACTTACCTCGTATACAGTGAACTCCATAAAGTTGGAAGCCGGACTAAGGCCAAATAGTGCGGGGATTCCAAATAGTGCGGGGATTCCATATACATTACTCTTAAGGATTGAGGCCATTTGGGCTTCTACTATATGACCCTAGCTACCCAAGTACCATGATCCTTTAAGTGCAAGGAACCCCTTTTAGACCCCCTCAGACGGAAGCCTAAAAGGAACCTTGATAGGCCCTGTTAGATGGAACCCTTAGAGGCACCTTTGGAGTCCAATTTCAAAGGGGGAAAGGAGGGACCCTTAATGGGGACCCCTACCCTATAATGGGCTATATAACGGGTATAAAATAGCTATATTAAGGGTATATACCTCGGGGTCCTGATTTAGGGTCCCTCCTTTTACCCTTGGACAAATGTTCGACCCTTAACCCGAAACCATAAACCTCAAACCTTCATGCAGCCCTACAGCAGCAAGCCTTCAATCCGAAAACCCAAACCTTGCAGTCCAGTACAGGGGCCAAACCTTAAACCTAACTCGATCAGGGTTTGGAAGTATAGTGTGCTGCTGCTGTAACGAGGAGGTGTATCTATAACTAGAACAAGTAGCCCTACGGAGTAGTATTGCCATGCATCACCCATAGGCTCCATAACAGTTCTCTTTTGTGGATTACCTTATAGGATTCTAAACGGGAGTTTCCGAAAAATAGGGGACCCTACTATAGCACCCTAAATAGTAGGATCCTTATTGTAAGGACCCCGAAATAACGTACCCCTGTTTTCGGAAACTCCCAAATATGAACCCCCAAAAAGAAACTGCCATGGAGCCTATGGGCACTAACTAACTATCCAGGCTTCGGTAGTGCTCAAACCTCGGTCGAAGTCACAGCTGGGGCCCCAAAAAGTACATAAGCACAAATAAGGATAGGGGTATCCCATATAAACCCCCTTATAAAGAACCCCAATAAGAAAGGGATATGATATCCCTATGAAATGCTTGTGTTTATGTGCTTTTTGGGCTCTCTAACAGCTATGTGTAGGTTTTAGTTGTGTCTTTTGAAGGCGACTTTTCTCTCGGAATTCTGGTCATAAATCCACATGGCACGGGGAAGGTTTAGGATTTAGGGCGTGCCAGACAACATGAAAGTGCCTGCGCTGTATTTATAAACTCCTAAACCCGAAATCAAAAAAACCTAAAATCCTAAATCCTAAACCCAGGACACCCTAAATTTTGAGTCGAAAGCCTGATGCCAGCGTAGTTTGACTTGCGTGCTTCTTGCCGGAATTCCGACGAAGTCCTGTCACAGTGAAACCTGTCCGTCCGGACGGTAGGCTACATACGGTTTGACTCGGGGCTTCACAGCTAAGGGCTCTGCAGGGGCGTGCCTCTTCAGCTGTAGAAAATGTATGATGCATGATATGGGCTGGGGTTTATGGGTTTCGGCGCTGCATGTCGCGGACTCATCTTCCTGTCTCGGCGCTTCCACTAAAACGTGGGCGGATAGTCAGTTTCGTGGTGCCTCGGCTTTGACAAGGAGTGCCTGGACCCTAAGGAACCTACCTTTTTAGCGCCCCCTAAGATGATTTCTTTACTTGGCTGACTTCTGAACCCCTCCTAAAAGTTAAACTTTTAGCCTCCCTCTTATAGTTCATATAGAAGCCCAAAAAGTTAAAGTCCTAAGAGCCAACCAGAAGAACGCCAAGTTTATATAAGTCCCTAAAAAGGTAGGTTTTTGGGGTTAAAGTGGGCTGTAACAGATGTGATTTATGGAAGTCTTCTTGCCTTGGAGTAGTGCGATAAAAAAATGCTGAATTTTGGTATGCCACACACTATTTGCAGGGCCAGATACGGCCTAAGTATCTACTATATCGGTACATGGAGCCGTTGGGTCGCTTGGGGGCTCATAGGGCTTAATAACTAGGGTTATAAATAAGGTAACTATGCTTGTAGTTTCTTATAACCCCAGTCAAGGTACGTAAGTACTTAGTAAGTCCCATGAACCTCCAAGCACCCCTGAGTAGCAGTTTCCTGTTTCAGGAAGTCCTTCTGAACAGCGCGGCAGGGCAAACAGGCCACGTAAAACGGCATCTGAAAATGATAACACACCCGCAACTCTAAACCCTAAACCCTAAACCTTTAAGCCCTGAACACTAACCCTAAGGCTCGAAATGGCCCAAAAGCCTTATAGAGTATGGTCTTTTGGCCCAAAGGCCTTAAGATATCCGTCCTTAGTGCCTAAGGGTAAACCCTGAACCCTAAATCCTAAACCCTGAACCCTAATTCCTACACCCTGAACCCTGAATCCTAAACCCGGACCTAAACCCGCTCTGCAAAATGTGATGCGAGGCCCCAACTGGCCACCGAAGATTGTCGCAGAGCCCTCC